AACCCTCATAGGTCCACAAACCCCTAGATTTTATAGTCCACAGCGATGTGGATTCTAGGGCTTTATCAAGATTCTTAAGGTATATGGGAACCAGCCAGGGACTATGGAAAGGGGTTCAGGCTCAGCTCAATTCAAACAGCCTAGAGGAGATGGCAAGAGAGATCAAAATATACTCGCAACAAATATTTCAAGTTCATTCAGACAATGGATTCTGACAACAGATTTTTTTTCTGACAACATTAACAAGAAAGAGCCCACTTAATATAGCAATTCTTTCCTCCCCCCCATTTATCAATCTATTTTAGAGAGAGAGAGAGAGAGTGCACATGAGCAGGGGGCAGGGAAAGGCAGGAGAGAAAGAGAGAATCTTAAGCAGACTCTCTGCTGAGCATGAACCCGATACTGGGGCCAATCTCATGACCTGAGATCATGACCTGAGCCAAAACCAGGAGTCAGACGGTTAAAGGAATGAGCCACCCCAGGGACACATAAAGTAGCTATTTCTGACCCAGACCCTGTGAATTCCTATAGGTCCAAGAAAATTTAAAAAAGCACTGACCAAAGTTAAACACGTGAAAACTTTCATAGGACATGGAGAGGAAGAACCAACTTCAAATAGTAACAAGATTGAAAGAGACTAGAGAACCTACAGGAATTTCCAGTTACATAATCACCATGGTGGATAATATGAAACGCAATGCTAGCTCTCAAACATCTGCAGAGAGCGGAACAGCAGTACACCTTTCTATAGGCCACATAACACCAAAAATGAGTGTTAAAACTTCCAAAATGAAACACCACGTAGAGAGGGTACACTATCCCAAACACCTAGAAGAGAAAACAAATCCACACTGTCAGATTCCACAGGGACCAACTTATCTGCAATAACTAATAAGAGAAGCAACAAGAGGCAAATGCACACAAGGGACATTAATATTACAGGATCCACTATCAGTGGCAAAATGGGGAAAATTTCTCTGGAAACAATAAAACTCCAGCGTACATTCCATATAGCACCAGGGAAAAGTCTTCCAAAGAAAAAACTACCATTCTAACTCCCACTGCCATTAGAATGCCAAGACATTATTCACAGGACTTACCACTACTCGAATTCTCACTGCAGGTTGGATCGCGGGGCAGTTATCCAAAGGATGTAACGACAATAATGAAATCACTTCCAGTAGCACCACGGAACAGCCTTGCACAGAAAACACCACCACAACAACTTCCATTGCCTGTAGCACTATGGAACAGAAATCCATAAAATGTAATTCCCCTTCAAACACCATTGACAGTACAACCACGGGACAGCCTTCCACAGAAACCACCACCACTCTAACTCCCATGGCCAGTAGCACTGCGGCAAAGACTTCCAAAGGACCTACTTCCACTCCAACCCCTACCGCCAGTAGCACTGCGGGACAGTCTTCCACAGAGCGCACCAACACTATAAGTCCCACTGCCAGTAGCACCGCGGCACAGTCTTCCACAGAACCAACCACCACTGCAAACCCCACTGGCAGTAGCACCACGGGACAGTCTTCCACAGAACCCACCACCCCACTAACTCCCACTGCCAGTAGCACCGTGGCACAGTCTTCCACAGAACACAACACCACTCCAACACCCACTGGCAGTAGCACTGCGGGACAGTCTTCCACAGAACCCACCACCACTCTAACTCCCACGGCCAG